AAGTTAATAGAACCATTAAAATTGCTTTTGCGTATTGCAAAACATCGAAACCACTAACTTCTTAGGCATATATTCCATTTCAAGCCAGGTATCTCATATGCTTTTTGGGAGCTTCATGGAGTAAAGTGTGCCACACCAACTGGCATACAGTTTTCTCAGCAATCTTAATTAATTGCACATTTCGATTTTAGATCAAGCATATTTCAGGTGGATGGAATATGCTAAAATGCTTTGGATTGCTTCGATTCGAATCAGCTGCCCATGCTAGAAGGTGGTTGGAAATTGACAAAGTAATTCGACAGCCTGACTTCCTTGGCTCTGTGGATATATTTATGCTGCCCTTGAAAAAATCAGATATGACAAACAGAGGTAAATTCAGATAGAGCATTAAGTAGTTATAATTCAAGTATTCATGCTTTAAACTTGAATTATATAAAGCATAGCCTAACTACTCGCATAACCTACAAGTAAATGAATTGTGAGAAATGTAACTATCAAGTTCTCTATTCTCCTTAACGATCTAGTATTGTTTGGGTCATTAGTTAATAGCCAATGATCGTTTAGAAAACTAGAAGCTGAATTTCCCCACAATGATATGATTGAAATTCACATGGTCCTGCTTTCCCAAAAGGTATTCTCATTCTGAATGGAGTGGATCACTCCATAATATTGCCATGAGTGCCCTTGGGTTACAGATCAAATGCGAATTTAAATGATAGATGGTACATTCCTTGGTGGGATTTTGATGAAGCAAAGTTATATTTTTTATGATAATCGAGCAGATTACTTATTTTTGGTTTAGAAGCAGAGTTCGAGACTACCAGCAAATCAGTTATATGAGAAGTATTCACCCCATTTCGTTTAAGCTGATGAAGAAAGGGTAGGTGAACTTTCACACAATGATATCAGCAAAGCTGAAGTTTTCTTTGAATTAATAAGACCTAAGCAAGGTCGAAAGTTTAGTCAACTCTGGAGAAGAATACCTTTTGGAAGAGCAATGATATGTGACCTTCACTAAAGATATCAGCTCTCCTTATAGCATTGTTGGAAAATTCATCACTTCAAACGAATTAGGGTGAATACAACCCATATAGCTAACTTACTGAGAGTCTCGAAACTATACTTTTAAACGAAAAATTTAAATCGAATTTTCACAAACAAATATTTTTAAAAAAAGAATACTCTAAATATGACCATGTAGTAGAGTTTTCTATGAATATTTATTGGCTAAAAGAGAAATAAGAATAAAAACAAGCAACGCAGGAGAAGATACAGCTTTATTGAAAGTTAGCTGTATTGTGTGAAGGACAGCCTTTTAAAAAAGGTACCGTTGGTATATACGAACTAAAAAGGAATAAGGAAAATAGAGTCCCTCGCAAAGAAGATTAAAAATTCAGCTCGGTTTCTATAAATTTTTCATGAATTGGCCCAACAATAAGGAAAGATATCAAAAGACTTTCATATTGTTAAAAGGGAAAAATGTATTATTTTGCAGTTTTGTGTTATTCTATCTACTTTAAATCAGAGTCGAGCACTAACAAATGTCGTAGTAATGTCCTCGTTTAAACAAAGTAGAATCCACGATCTATTATAAAAGCGAAAACATTTTGGTAAAAGTTTAAGTAAATTCAATGAAAGCTTTTCTCATTTCATCCGAAACATTCAGGCATACTTTATATAATAATCAAAAGTTAATTAGAGGGCAAACACCATCTTCATAATTAAAAATTAAAGTACACTGGGCTGTTTGAACCAACAATTCTCTAATCAGGACAACTAATTATTAAAACCATAAGTTAATTTACTAATGAGGATATCTTTTGACGATTGCATTCTCACTCATAGTTAAGGTGTGCAAATATTACTAAGTCATTATCGGGTTAAAAATATAAATATTCTGGCAGAGGAGTAAGTCCTTTACATTCTTTTCATAGTCACGAAAAAGTTGCTGAAATCAAGTAAATATGACTAAAAAATGCAAAGGGCCTAAAACCAGATAGAAGAAGATATGACTATAAAGGCTAATGAAATATAGCGTTTGCTTAAAAAAAGATCAAGAAGAAAAGCCGTCTTCACACAGAATATTGCATACTGTAGCTTAATCTTACTTTTGAAAAAAACATAAAGGATTTTTATTAGTTTAAAAGAACAATTTCTAGACGACCACTAAATCAGCTATATCAGATATATTCACCATATTCCGTTAAAGTTGAGGAAATTTGATTGAATTTTTCCGGAATAATACGATTTTCATTGAATTTTAACAATCCTAGCGGGAGTCGAACGATGACAGTGCAACGAATCACCACTCCGGAAGAGTACAACTTTTAGGAAAATAAGGATATGTGAAAGTCAATGAAAACTTAAGCCCTATTTATATCATTGTGGGAAAATTAAACTACCAGTCCTTGGTCACCTTAAACGAAATAGGATGAATGCATCTCGTGGTAGATTATGCTTCTCAAGATTTGTCTTTTATTTCTAAAAGTCCTATTTAAGTTTTTTTGTTTACATTTCTTTACTTTTAAAGGCTATCCCATCATACAACTTATAAGTCTTCATATTACCTTTCTTGATATTTATGTGAAACAATATCTCACGAAAATGGAGGAAGCTGTAAAGTTATTTGGTGGCATACCTCATGTTGTATGCCATCAGAAACCTTGGACAATCAGAGGAAACCAACTGCCAGGTTCTATAATAATAAATCAATGGCCAGACTTCACGCACTTCTTGAATTATAAAACTTCAGGTGAATGTAGACTTTGATTTGTTTTGGCATGTTTAATCTTTATGCATGTGGTGATAGACATAATAAACTATTGGGAACTGAAGTGCTAGCTTAATTATTAGTTATTTATACTTGGTAGTTAATCTACAAGTATTCTGAATAAAAATATTAGCAATTCTATCTCTCAACAATCTGATGCAAATATTTATCCAAATTTCTAACTCAACCCCGAAAATATACAAATACTCATTCTAGCAAACATTATTTTTACTATGAAAAAGAGTAAACTTGGTTTGCTTTCTTATGATTTTTTGAATCCTGGGTTTTATATTCATGAATGATGCGCATGTATCTTTTGTTTACTTCTTTATCTAATATATAAATAAATTGTTTAATGTTGTGATTTATGCTTCAATAACTAATTCAGAATAAAAACTATAAGAGAATCGGATAAGCTAATATTTGTTATTCCTTAAGGCTTTTATTCTTTCATGACTATCCTGAAAATGAAACATTAAAAAAACATTATAATATTAAACTCTAAGCATTACACCGATACAAATATAGCCTACAAATTCATATTAGATTTTTACGAGTTTGCAGCATGACTAGTTTAGTGTAATTTATCTTTAAACTAATAATAATGCATAAAATCCAGAGGAAAGAGTAATCTTTAGCTTTAAGTGGGTTGACCTCGTTGTCGCAACTTGGTCTTGTGTTCAGGGAGACTATGTAGAACGCACCGAG